CGCTCATAGAGCTCGGACATTTGCTCCCGGGCGTCCAGCAGCAACTCGACCATCTCGAGGTAATTTCGCAGAAAGGCCAAGATGATGGCGTCTTCCGAGGCGAGGTCCGGGCGGCAGCGTAGAATGCGCTTGGTCAGCGCAACAACAAACCGTTGTAAATGGCCATATGCAGCGGAAAGCGGTCGTCTCGGTGCCACTTGTTTAGAGCCAGCGCTGAAGAGGCCATTGGGTCTGTGAGATCGGACGACCATTCGGCGGTGGGCGCATACGCTTGGCCAAAGGACGCGTCGCACTCGTAGTTGTGCCGGATCGTGTCAAACTCGACGAGCTCGTTGCAGGCGCGGAAGGCCGGGCAAACATCTTCATACAAGCCAAACTGAAACGCAAACACAATCGATGCGAGCGCAGGCTGCGCAAGGACGGTGCTGGCGAAGGTCGCGGCCATGGCGCGCCAAGTCGGCCAATGGACTGTATCCGAACGTGGTGCAAAGTCGTTTATCCGGATTTCCAGCGGGAGCGTTAAACTGCGTTAAACCCAACAAAATGCGTAAAAGCACAGGTCAATGAATCTGGATTCGTGAGGCGATCGCGTTTGTTTCTAATAGCTCGAGGGCGAAATGGAATGTCGGTCGAAGTAGTCGTTGTTGCTTCCATCCGCGCGCTCCTCGTAGTTTCAAGGCCATCATAAACTGGAAAGTTATATAGTACCGGTAGAGACTTTGACCCATGGTAGTGAGTCCTCTGGCGCGAAATACAACCTTCAACGCACACTTGGCAACGTCTTGAAGCCAACGAAATCGTGTTGTTTCAACTGCTTAGCTTTTGCGACCAGTGCGCTTGCGCTTGGAGGCGAGCAAGACACGAAGCTGCGTCTGGAGCTCGGCGTCCTGGACCAACGCTGCTTTCTTCTCAAGTTGCTCAAGTGTCGTCGTCCCGTCGGCTGCCCAGAGATGACAAATGACGAGCGCCAGCGCCCAGTCCACAACACCACCAGCGTTCCGTAGCGTTGACGCACGCGCCGTCACGCTGGGGGCCAGCTGGAGGCTTCGGCTGGCCATTCTGCCTTGCTCTTGGAGCTCTTTTGTGATCAACTGGAGGATCGTCGCACGGCGGCGGTCGGGAAGCGCGAGCAGGTCGAGAAGAAAGCGAATGTTGTCGAGGTGGTTGGTCGCATCCATGCAGTACGGCAGCAAGAACTTGCTCTCCGTCACAAACTGTCGACGACCGGCCATTTCAACGAGGCACTTGCGCGGCTTACCAATCTTGGCAGCGAGGAGGAAGCGCATCGCCTCGGTGTTGTGGCTGCTGGACGCCACGACAAGGAGCTCATCGTGTCGGAGCTGTGGCTGCCGCTGCAGAATGTGCGCCACGTCCTCGAGGTGACCACCGCGTAGCACCTGCTTGAGCGCATCGAGCGATACATCCGCTGTGCAGTGGGCCGCGAGAAAGTGCACAACGCCCCACGCCTTGTTTTGGATCGCTGATTCCAAAACGTCGGGCCCACAGCGCGTGTTGGGGTGCGCATGGAGGTACGCCACAAGTGGTACATTGTTGAGCGCAGAGGCTCTCGCCATCCACGTAGCGCTCCACGAGCCGCCATTGTCGAGGAAAAACCGAAGGACGTCGACCATGTTGGACGTCTGGAAGGTTGCTTGATCCCACAGTACCTGCGACGAGGTCGGGCTCGGGTAGCCACGCGAGACGAAGTACTCGGCAACGCGCAGATGCCCGAAGTCCAGTGCGCAGTCAACAGCGCCGCTGCTGCCTTCGGTACAGTGCGCCACTAGGTACTTGACTACGCTGAAATGACCATACAAAGCGGCATTGTCGATGGCGGCGACGAGGCAACCCGCCGAGTTCAAAGTATGGAGGTACTCCACGATCGCGAGGTGTCCGTTGGCGGCAGCATTGCTCAGCGAATTGAACGACGCGGCTACGATGCACTGCTCAATGAGGAAGCGGACGACGTCAAGGTGGCCTTTCGTAATGGCGCCGTCAAGCGCCTTGTACGTGCAGCCTTCGGTTCGGTTGAAGTGGAGAAACTGAACGACCTCCAAATGACCGTTGGCCGCCGCCTCATCCATGGCCTTGACGGTGCAGCCCTCGCGTCGGTTCGAGTGAAGAAAGCGAACGACGTCCAGGTGGCCGTTGGCCGCAGCGCCGTCCAGGGCAAAGACAGTGCAGCCTTCTGTCCGGTTCACGTGCAGAAAGACGACGACGTCGAGGTGGCCATACGTAGCTGCATCGTCCATGGCCGACGTCGAGCACGCGACACCGCGCTCGTGGAGCGATTGCACGAGTGGCAGAAACCCCTGCGCCGCGAGGTCAATCATGATGCACGGATAGCCAAACCATGGAAAGAGGTCGAGCACCACCGTCGCGTTCGCCAGCGTCGCGCAACGCATGGCGCGGCGACGGTCGTACTCGTCAAAGTCCTCGGGGCGCAAGCCAAAACGCTGCAGCAACACGAGGACCGTTGCATCCTGCCGTCCCAGCGTTCGGCGCAAATAGCAGCTAAACAACTCGTACCACACGGAGCCTACGTCATCCCATCCTTTCATTCTTCGATAGCGCACATCGCAAATGTACCCAGAGTACGCCGACGAATGCCGCGTTGGTAGACCTCTGGGACGTGCGCACGCTGCTCCAGGAAGTATGCGCAAATCTCGAGACGGTCCATGACAAAAGCCAAGACAATGGCGTCCTCCGACCCGAGGTCCGGACGGCAACGTAGAAGGCGCTTGGTCAGCGGCACAAAGCCTAGGGCAATGGCCAGATGCAGCGGGAGGCGAGCGTCGCGCTGGCGCCTGCGGAGCGCATACGTGTCAAAGCCAAAGATGTGGCAGTCTCGAGGCCACGATACGTTTGGCGCAAAGGCCGAGCCAAACGACACGTCGCACTCGTACGAGCCTCGTGCGGCGTCAAACTCGACGAGCTCGTTGCAAGCAGACATGGCTCGGCGCACGTCCTCGTAGACGCCGCCCTGAAACGCAAGCACCATCGATGCAATCTCGGGCTGGCCGAGCACGGCACTGCGAAACGTTGCTTCCATATGTGTCTTCCAACGGGTTGGCCAACTGAATAATCGTTGCTCCCCAAGTGGTTCATTGAGGTCACTTGACATCATGAGCGAGAATCTGCCAAGTCCGTTTGTCATAAACTGTCCGTGATGCACCCTGCCCTGTCCCATTTTTTCTACAATCGGTCGCCGTCTTCATCGTTGTCGCTTGGCTTCACTGTCTTGTGCGATGAGACGGCAGTCGTCTGAACACTCTGGCCAAGCGTCGCTCTGGGCACCAAACCATTGTTGCCGCACATGTGTTGAGTACTGACGAAATGCACTCACTCGATATTCATAATGGTCTAACATAACTAGGTGCTACGGTCAATCGCGCTTTCGATTGGCCGCCATAAGGGCCCCACGCACTTTCTTAGCGCGAGGTTTGGGCGTGGCGTCACTCGCAGTGGATCGTGCGCATTTTCGGCTGATCTTATGAATAGATAGTTCGTCTCGCATTGTGGAGCTGGAGCTCGGCGTCGTATCTTCTTCTCGAGTTGGTCGACGGTGGCCGGTTGCCCAAACGTGGCCAATGACGAGAAGAACCGTCCTGTCGACAACCTTGCCAGCCTGCAGCAGCGTCGTAGCGCAAGCTCCCAGACTCGGAATAGATGGATGCTTTGGTGGACCTCTCGTCCTTGTTGATGAGCTCAGACGTGACGACTGCAGCGTTGTCGTGCGGCGGCGTCATTGGCTAGATGCAATACGAGCAAATACTCGACAAGTCCAAGCATGCAAACATGAGTCTCTTAAGATCCGGGTCCTACGGTAATCGCATGCACGACATTTACTCTTCTTCATCGTCCTCTTCTTCGTTCTCTTCGTCGTTCTCTCCGTCCTCGTTGGCAGCCTCGTTGGCGTTCTTGAGCTGCAGCAAGAGCGAGACAGCAAAGTGGAGCTTGGCTGCCATGGCCGTCATTGTCTCCGACTGCGCGTCGACCTTGGCTTTGAGCGCCTCAATCTCGTCGTGGAGCTGCGTCTTCTCGGTGTCTTCATTCTCCTCGGTCGTCGGCGCAATGGCTTCGGCCACTTTGTCCAGAACGGCGTCCGAGACCTTTTGCAGCTGTGCGTCCATCGTCGAGCGCTGCGCCATCTGGAAGAGCAGCATGCACTCGGCACGCGCACTCATGTCCTTGGCGTCAAACTTGGGCGCCCAGAGCCGCAGCAGCTTGTCCTTGAGCTGTCCGAGCTTCTTCTTGAGGTGCGACTGCAGCGCCGAGAGCACCTTGTCGCGGTACGCGCCGCGGGTCTTGCGCGCGTCGTCCACAATGGCCGTGAGCTGGCTCCGGGCCGTCTCCAAGTGCTTCAAGTCGTCGGCAAACACCGTCTGCACCGGGTGCGACGTAAAGTGTGCCACGTGCAAGAGCGCATCACGAAGGTAGCGAAGCTCCGTCTCGATCGTCCCATCCAGCTCGTCGACCAGCGTCGCCCACGCCGCGCGGTTGGCCGCCTCAGTCTGGAGCTCGGTGGCTTGGTCTTCACCGAGGTCGAGGAGACCCTTGGGTACACGCTCGGTAAAGATCGGGTTGAGCCACTCGGCTTGCTTGATCATGGACGTCGATGCCTTGGTCGTAAAGTAGGTGAGGGCGTGCGTGTCGTCGGCCGTGAGGTTCATCGACGTCTCGAGACGCAAGATGCACTGCGCATAACTGATGAGCGCTTGCGTCTTGGCCTTCTCGAGACCGCCGTCGACCGTCTTGTTCATCATGGCGAGCAAAACGTTGAGGAGGATGATGACCATGATGGCCACGTGCAGCATCATCAAAAGCGCGGTGGCCACATACATGCTCGACGCATGATCCTCTTTCGAGTCGCCAAACGCGTCGAGCGAGTCGAGCGCGAGCTCGCCAAACGAGACGTAGTACGTCGTCATGAACGCCTGCCCGAGACTGCCAAACTTGTGGAGACTGTCGTCCATGCCGCGGAAGAGCTGGTAAAACGTGAGCGTAAAACCCACTTGGAAGACGCCAAAGAGGATGAAGAAGTTCCAAATGTCCCCAAAGAGGTCCGACATCATCGGCATCAAGAAGCTGGCCGACGGCACGACCTCCAAGAACTGAAGCGAGAGGACCCAAAGCGCGAGCGTGAGGAAGCCCGAGAGACCAAACTCCACTTCATCGACCGCGCTGATCCAGCCGAGCTTGATAGGCACAAAGAGAAAGAGGATGACGACGTAAACGAGCAGCTGCGCCTTGTTGGTGTGCGACGCAAAGTACGCGCGAAAGTCGTCGCGCATCTCGCCGCGCTCCGTGACGACAAAGTAGAGCGCCGTGAGCCAGAGCACGACCGTGTTGACGACCGGAAACCACTTGGAAATGTGCATGAGGTGGGCGAAAATGGCCAAAAGAACCACAACGATGAGCGTGATGGCGACCGAGGCGCCGTAGAGGAGAGACGTCGCCGCTTCCTTCTTGGAGCGGAGGTCCGGGATCACGACGTCCGGGTCAAGGACGCGGCTCTTGTCGTACTGGTAGCGCGCCCAGCCCCAAAAAACACTCGGTTCGAGCTGGCCAATCACGAGGAACGCCGAGAGGACAAAGAGCCACGCCGAAATGCCAACAACGCACGCCGCCGTCGACGGCGAGTCGCCAATGAACGACGACGTCGTCATCGTGAAGAGAAGGAGTACGTTCATGAGCAGCTGCTGGAGGTACATGCGCTTCCCAAAGAGCTCCCACTTGATCGCGAGGAGCCGGCGAAAGACAATATGCTCCAACAAAGCCTTCTTGGTCGCAAACGTCTCTTCTTTTGCGTCGACGTTGAGAACCGCGTAGAGCGCACTCGCCTTGGCCGTCGTGCCGTACACTGCGTCCATCTATCGACACCATCGTCAGGATTGTATCAAGTTGATACTCGTGACCTACGTGCTGAAAGGCCGCTTCGTGCCGATGCAGCGTGACGCAGTCGTTGAGGAACTTGAGCCCGAGCTTGGCGCTGACAGTAATCGCTCTCGCAAAGCCGCCTTGGTGGAAGACGTCGTCGATGGACATGGTCACCATGCTCAACGCTTGCTTTTCTTGGTACTCGGGCGAGTTTTCGCGGATCTGGAGCTCCTTCTTGAGGAGCGAGAGGAGTTGCCCTTCCGGCAGCTTTTCGTCATCGGCGGCACCGCCAGCGCGCGACAGCGCTTGCTCGAGCTGTGATAGCACCGAGTCGCCGTTCTACACAATCGAGGGTTAGGGTTTAGAGCACGAGTCCGACCCATTACCTTGTCGGTGAGATACACTTCGGCCGATGCTTCGAGAAGAAGACCGACGACCTTCATGTGGCAGCCCTTGGCCGCGAGCATGAGCGCAGTCTTGCCTTCCTACACAGCCGACGCGTCAGACGGACGCGTGGTGGTCGAGGTTAGGTGGTACTACCTTGTTTTGGAGATCGACGTTGACCGATTTCGACACGAGAAACTTGACGTAGTCGTTGCGGCCGAGACTGGCGGCCACCATGAGCGCGGTCTCTCCGTCCTAAAAAAGTCCCACTCAGATCTCTTAGAGACTGAGAGAGCGGCAGCTACCTCGTCTTGCTTGTCGAGGTCAATGTCGGTCGCACAAATGTCGTTGAGCGTTTCCTCGGAGAACGACCCGCGCATCGCCGCGTGCATGGCCGTCTGCTTGCGCTAGATCACACATTGTGTGAGCTCTGCCGTACGACAACTACAAGTGGCCTACCGCGTCCAGCTGCCGCGCTGCGGCCACATTCGGGAGGTTCAGAAGGAAGAAGCCAATGTCAAAGAGGGCTAGCTCCCAGCGGTCATAGACGAGAAGCTCGCTAGGTGTCGCGTTCGTCCGCAGCTCGGCCAGTGACGCCTACGCCGTCATGATGCAACCTTGGACGCAACCAATAGGTGTGTCGTACAGCGTTGGTGTCGTCGTCAACGACCGGGTCGGCCCCGGCTGCGAGCAAAAGGCGCACGATCTTGACATGGTCGTTGTCGACGGCATAGTCCAAAGCGCTTTGGTCGGTCTAGCATTGTAGAATATCGTCAATATCCTTGGTGCCACAAATGCATGTGTCCTACCTCCTCGGAGCGCTGGTTGAGGTCGAGGTGGGGCTGCGTCAAGAGCAGCTTCAGGAACGCAACGTTCCCGCATTCGCAAACGTGGTGCAACACCGACATGCCCTACATCTCCCATCTGGTCAGGACGCGCGGCTTGCAATGTTTCAGCAAAAGTACCCCTTCGATCTTGTTGATCACGTCGGCCGGCAAAGGTTCTTGGAGCACCTGGCGCAGCTCGGTCCAGTTCCGCGCCGCCGCAAGCCCCGAGAGGCCGTTGTTGGAGGTACTCGTCATCTTGCACTGGCCAGCACACTCATGCGGCGCCGTCCCCGTCAAGTACTCGGCCCACTGCAGGTACGAGTCGGGCTACATTTTAGGAGTCAACAACGCCTCGGGAGGATGCCAGAACGATACCAAATGGGCAAAGTCGAGCCCCACTTTGCCCTTGCAGCTCAAAGCGTGGATCGCGCGCATCAAGCGCGACGGCACCGTGCCCGTGGGGTTCTCTGCACAAAAGAGACTGTGGCGCGCGAGCATGTCCAGCGCCGTCCGCCCTTCCTACATGGTATATCCTCTAAGACCTTGGAACACGGGAGGACGCGTACGTTGTCCTTGGCGCTCACGGCATCGGCTGGAAGGTACGGCAACAGGCGGTACAGCACTTGATCGGCGTCGCGGAGGTCGTCCAACCGGAGAGCCGCGTGCATGAGCGGTGTACGCCCCATCTACGCATCCGAGGCTTAGATCTTGGTGCGTCATAAACACGGGAAATAAGCTATTCTTATTCCCTTGGTCCCAAAGTTGGCGTACCGTATCGGGGGTCGTCAGCGCCGTTGCTATCTCCTCGTCAACGTCGTCGCCGTGCTTGGCGCGCATCTCGATAAGCCACGCCTCGAAGCGGTCGACCTTGTTGGTACGCACAAGCGCGTGGACGGGAAATGCTTGGCGAAACTCAGCTTCGGCTTCCAAAAGAGCAAGAAGACGGGCGTTCTCCGTCAAGTCGGCGGGGCGCTCGCCGGCCTATTGATCGCGATTCGCGGGGTTTGATTGGGAGATGGGAAACATACCTCGTTGACAGCGTCGATGCTGTGGCCTTCGGCGAGGACGCCGTCGAGCGTCTGCACAACGTCGTCTTCATCTTCGTCCTCCTCGGACGCGTTGCGGATCACATAGTGCAACGCCGTGTCACCATCCTACGCAAGACGGCGCTTCGATAAGACGACGTGCAATGGAGAAGAGAGAGTACCGCAGCGCGCACAAAAACATCGGCGCCGGCCGCCACGAGGACGGCCGCACACTCGTCGTCGGCGTTGGACAGGGCGACCAGATACGGCGTCTCGCCGTCCTAGCACGTTCGAGGGTTAGGGTACGACGATACATCATGTCTTTTGTACATTGTTGATGACGTCGACGGACGGGTAACGCGGAAGGAGCCAGCGAAGCGCGTTCATGGCGCTGTGGTCCGCTGCGTGGTGCAATAGCGTGTTGCCGTTCTACTGAGAATGAGAATGGCACGCATGACAAGTGCACTACCGTTGGTGACACGACGTTGAGCGGGTCGGGAATGATGTCCCAGAGGTATGTTACGATGTGGAGCTGGTTGTAGGCGACCGCACGCTGCATCGTCATCCAAGCAAACTACATGCGCGATGGCGTCATGAGCCCACTTTGTTATGACAGAAACACAGCGGGAACGGACGTTGGGAATGGTCTCGTACGGCGTCGATTCGATCAAAGCTTGGACGACCGGCAACGAGCCCGAGAGCGCGGCCATCGACAGCACCGAGTCGCCGTCCTAGGAGACGTCAGCATTTTTCAAGGAGATGAAAGAGAGACCTCGTCGAGGCTCGTGAGGTCGTCGTCGGTGACAGCGCCGGGCGTCCGGAGGCGCCAAAGCACTTCATTTTCTTTGCTCTTGGTCATGAGCTCGACGAGCGTCAGGCTCTCGAGACTCGTGTCGTCGTCGCTGGCAGAACCCGTCGTGTCACTGCGGTGCATTGCTGCTGCTGTTCCGTTCAAGAATGACCGAGTAGTCCGTTTTCCCAAGCGGCGCGTCGACTGTGCGGGTTGTAGTTGCAGTGTGGGACATGGCACGGTCTGATGGCCAATGGTCAATGATGGTCCAGGAGCTTCGTCCTAAGATGCTTTTGGTTTGTCCGAGACCCGGACAGAATTTGTTGCTATCTCATGCACCCGGTTTGGCCAGCGTATCGATGGCGCGCTTTGCGTCGACAAGAGAGGCGTCGAGCGCGGGCTGCGAGAGCTACGAGAACGTCCTGCGTATGCGGCAACAAGGAGTACGTGGCCTTCCTCGTAACGACTAGTTTGAAAACAATAACGTCTGTAGCCCTCGTAACACAGCTCTTGGTCACCGACGGCGCATGGCACGTCGTCCCATGGCCACGGCACCCAGATTCGTCGAGCGTTGCACACAATTTGTCTGTTGAAAACTCAGAAACACGTAGTACTCAGATGGTTGTGAAGTAGCCATCGCACCCATGACTGTGTCTGGTTGTGGAAATATCATATTTGGAGCGTCGAATCATCAACCTTTCTGTGCGAGGCTTTTCTAGACAATGGTGCCCATGAATAGCCTGTGGCAGCAAAGGCCGATGGCGCGAGGCAACACAAGTTAAGATAGCGGTTAAGATAAGATCTAAAGCGGTGTCGACCAGGCGGCTCAGGCTCGCAACGAAGGAAAACCATGCGGTGTGTGACTCACACCTGTCGAGTTGTCGGCCATGAGAATGATTAATTTTTAGAGAATAAAAATTGGTTTTCGGGAGTGCTGGCGGACGAAGCCAAGCATTTCTGCTTCGGCTGCTAAAGGCAAAAGTCAACCCGCCGCGCCACACCCGATTGCCGGTTTAGCCCCAAGCCTCGCGTTCCACGCCTCTGCTTGCACAGCAAGGTAGCAAACGTAGGAAAAGTGCAAGATCGGGAAGAATAGCACTACACCTGCCGTGTCGTTGTCCAGCACCTCCTTCATCCCTGCTTCATCCCAGCCTCTCCATCGAGGCTTAGTATCGCCCATAGTTGGCACAGTAACACAAAATCCTTTGGAAAGCAGAGCAGACAACTTTATGGCACCGAGACAGTCCTGCAACACACAATACCGTATACAAGATAGATAGCATTGCTCTTTAAATCGTTAAAAAGCAAATTTCCACATTGGCACGCCGTAAGCCGTTCGGCAATGGCGTTGGGCGCCTCCAGGCCTACATAATTCGACCCTCGTTCGCCCTAGATTCGCGAAACAAATGAAACTATACCTTGACCGATAGCGCAGTGGTACCCGTTCGAGCTATCCAAACGGTTAGCTTCGACTCGTGGTCCTCTGTCGGTTATCTACTCGCAGCCAGCAAGTGCGATGGACAGGGGCAATATCTTGATTCCTTCTGCGTTAGCCAAAGTGGGTCATTTGGTTCAAATCAAAATCGTCATCGTCGTCGTCGTCATCATCAACGTGCACCGTGTCGGGCGACGAGACAGTAAGGAGTTGAATGCCGGCGCCGCCTTCGAGAAACACCAACGGCGCATCATCAAACTCGCTAGGCGAGGACGCGCTGTTGTCGCAGCCACACGAGCACTCGAGATCGAGCGCCGACCGGAGGTACTCCCACATGTCGTCTTGGCTCCACACGGCTACGTCCTTCGGCTTGATCGCGTCACCGCGGAGTGCCATGAGGTCGAGCGACATCTCCAGCAGCGCCTCGACGTCGACGTCGTCGTTACCGTCGTCCGACGACGGTGCCGTGCTGCCATCGTCCGACGCTACGGCCCACGACGCAGCATTTGCGATCGCTGCAATGTCGCCCGACATGACCAGCTGCGAGAGGTTAACGAGCGACGGGCCGTTGAGGAGCGGCGGCACGTCCATCGGCAGTGCCGCCATGGTCTGTGAGAGCGATACGACGTCGATATCAAGCCGCGCTTTCTTCTTCTCCGAAGGCCGGCCAATTTGGCCAGCGTTGTTAAAGTCGGGGTGGAGCTCCTTGAAGCGGCGCTTGACTTGCTCTTGCGTCCGGCCCTACACCACTGGTACGTCTATTCCACGACCACAATGGCGATCGTACGGGCAAGAGCTTGGCGATCTTGGACCACTGGTTGCCGCAGCTCGTGAAAGCAGCCTCGAGCGCATCGTCCTCCGAGCCCGTAAACTCGCTGCGAGCGACTCACAAGTCAACGTCGGACGCGAAAAGGTAGATAGGACGTACCCGCGCTTGATGGACGGGTCGAGGTGGTTGATCCAGCGCTCGCGACATTGCTTGGGCCTACCTGCGTATTGAGGTGGCGTACATTGCAAGCGGACGTACGTGCGCCCCGCAATACGCGGTGCCACGTCCTTCCAGCGAATCGTGTTCTTGTTAGGAAGGTCGAGGACAATATCGCGCAGGGCCTTGTCTTCTTGGTACGACCAATGACCTTTGACGAGGCCGGGCTTGAGCACTTTTTGCCAGCGCTGAAGGCACTGCGCGTCGTCGCGGCCGGGCACGAGGTCAGCGACCGCCTGGCTGCGTGTTTGATCCTCATGTAGGGAGATGGAACGACGTACCCGCCAGTTGCGGTCCTTGTAGACCTCCATGGCCTTGGTCAGCGCTTCGTCCTACGAGGTACGATGGCCTCGAGCGTCAGCGCAGTAGCGGCTACCTGCGCGGGCGTCCACGGGCCGGTCGTCGGGAACGTGCTTGCGTCGTCGTCGGCCATTGTAACTCTGGCACAAGTCCGGATAGCTGCCAGACGATGGTCATCCCTGCCACGTAGTATTCTATTGCACACTCAAATCCAATATTCGGTGGATTTAATTTTCGGCATCCGGATAAGGTTGAAAAAGATACGCCCATCAACCTCGAAAGCTTGGTCGAGCGACGGTCGCTGCACAGCTCTGGCGCTGGCCACCGCCAGTCGTACCCGGTACCCGGTGGAATGGACGGGTCGGAGCGGCGGTGACTGGAGCACGCCCTAGCACAAGGCCTCTTGCTTCGTGCAAATGGTCTGGCGAGAAACAAGGTTGGATGCAGTCGGCGTGCCGCTAACGTGAGAACGACGCCAGCTCCCAGCGTGGACGTGACAGGTGGCGATCCAAGACACGGCGATTTTGTAGACACAATGGCGTCTCTAGGTCCAGAGGGGTGGTTGAAAAGTCGACCGACCAACCCTAGTAGTTCGTATTCTACCTTACCGAGGGCGAAATTCTCACTCTTGGTCGTTTTGGACCGCACCAACAACAACATAACACAAGTGCTCGAGCATGGTTGCCCTTGACAACGTGACAGTGCGCACTGTGGAGCCTCGCGAGTACCTGGTCTTCGCGACCAACCTTCCACGTTGCCAAATGTGGCGTCGTCAGTACCTGGTAGTGTCACTGGACGTCTGTCGATCCATGGTAAGTTGTCGTCGTACGTGTCGTCATTGTGCACTGCATCGTAGGCGAAGTCTCATTTCCAGTGCTATCGTCGCAAGCTCCAACTGCTCGTTATTGCTTTTTATTATAGATAAGCGCGTAGCATCATCCTCCTTCGTCGTGCACCCTCGACCGTACGTTGCTACGTTTTTTGCGTCCATTTCTTCAATCACAAACAGCATGGCGAGCGTCTACCGGTGGCTCCTCGCGCTGGCCTTTGTCGCGGTCGCGCTAGCGCCGGCTACGTCCGCCGACGTCGCCAAGGCGCCTTCGTTCGCTGACGACCACGTCGTCGTCGAGTACTGTGTCTCTTGCGGGTACGCCAACAACTTTAAAGAGGTCCAGACGTACCTCGAGACGCACTACCCACACCTGATTGGCCGCGTCACGGGTGGGAACGCGTCGCCGCCCGCGTGGAAGTACTACTTGGGCACGATCGTCGGCTACGCCCAAGCCGTCGGCTTCATCTTCCTCCTCGCGGGCGAGCACATTCTCAGCGCGCTCAACCTTCCCGCCGACATGCCGCTGTTTGTTCAAACGCGCGACAACAAGTTTGCGGTCTTTGCGGGGCTCATGCTCCTCAGCAGCATCTCGCAGTCGATGAGCGCCACCGGCGCGTTTGAAGTCTACTTGAACGGTATGCAATGACTATGATCAACTACAGGAAGAGATGATACGTGGTAGGAACCCTCGTGTTCTCCAAGATTCGCATGGGCCGCTGGCCAAATATGCAGGTACGACACCTTTCATACGGGAATGCCACGTGTGAATTATGGGGTAGGAACTGGTGCAAGCGCTCGAAGCTCATGGCTTGCAGCGCCACTGAACCTGCCCTCTCTGGGTATCATCCATCCAGCGTACTGGATGAGCACGAATAAGGACATTCAACTGTCATAATGAGATGAAACCTGGCGACCATATTCGTTCACGTCGGAGCTGTGAAAAAGACGAGCGTGAACACACAGCGTCGTTCCTCGGCTGCAACCTCTCTCTGTGGCCCACCGCTCGTTTTGCCGAATGGGGCATCCGACACTGCGCTGCCGTCACGAAGTGCCGTTTCCATGAAGTGAAAGAGGATTTTCGCGCAAGACCGAGTGTTCCAGACGCCCACGCAAACACACGTCACAAGATGGAGGCGCAGAGCAAGCTTGCTCGAGCCACCGACAAAATTATAGTATCAGCAAGGTAACCCGCCTCGCCCACCACTGGGATGGCGAACACCAGCACCGGTGTTGCCCCAAGGAAGTTAGCTCAGACTTGTTTGGGGAAATTCTCATAACATTCAAAAGGTGATTCCAGTGACGTCCAAACTGAGGTCCGCGTCGGCTGCCTCAGGTGGCAGTGTAATGAGGTCGTAGCGCGCATCGAGCAGCGCCGTGAGCATCGTCTGGAACGGCGTCGGCGCGTCTTCACCAGCGAGGACGGCCTTGAGGACGTTGGGCGAGAAGCCCGAGATGAGCGACACGCTGGCTTGGGTCGCGAGCGCTGCAAAGTCCATCGCGTTGCCGTTCACGTTCCAAAAGACGAGGTGCGGGACGTCGTAGTTGGCGGCCGCAAACTCTTTCGCGAGCACCGCATAGTTGGTCTCAAAGTTGCGATCCGCTTGGTCAAACGGCATGTCCGAGACGACAATAAGCTTCTTGGGCATGCGCTCGCGCGGGATCTGCTTGGAGACACCGAGGTGAATGACGGCGCGGAAGGCCGCAGCAAAGTCCGTGCTGCCGCCCCACGGCGCACCCCTGAGGCTCTTGACCTTGGCATGCAAGCTGTCGCCGTCAATGTGATGGAAGCGCGGTGACGACTCGAACGTGAGCACGAGATTGTGAAACTCGTCCGAGACGATCGACGACACCATGAT